TCGACAACAAGGCGCGGTACATTGATCGTGCAGTTAAATCTCCTGAGCTCGAAACCGAACTTCTCCAATGGGTCCTACGCTGTGAGGAACTTGGCGTATGCCTAACGGGAGAGCTCATACAAGAAGAACAAGCAACCTCAATCGCGGCCCGCCTCAATCTGCCCCCAGCGCAGTGTTCGTCCTACTCGAAAGTATGGCTGTATAAGTTTCAGCGCAAACATGGCCTGACAAGCAAAATACAGCATGGAGAAGCTGCATCAACCCCACGAGGTGCTGTGCAACAAGGCCGCGAAGAAGTACGACGCATTACGAGTGGCTACAGCCCTGCGAACGTGTACAACATGGATGCGACTGCGTACCTCTACTGGTTGTCGTCACACCGTTCCATTACGCGAAACCGTGTGCCTGGAATGAAAAAGTGAAAAAGACGGTAACCGTTGCTCTTACTACGAATGCCGACGGTTCCGATGTTGTTGACCCCGTGTTCATGGAGACAGCCATGCAGCCAAGGTGCTTCAATAGTCGAACTGCCCAAGGCCTCGGTTTTGACTACCAGTCGAGTAAAAAGGCCTGGATGACAGTGGAGGTCTTTAGCACGTACCTGAAATCCATGAACGATCGAATGGTTTCGGAAGGGCGCAAGATCCTGCTGCTTGTGGACAACGCTCCCTGCCATGATCGTGAAGCTGGTGAAGGTTTGTCAAATATTTCGTTGTGGATGCTTCCAAAGAATACAACGGCGTACCTGCAGCCTCAGGATGCGGAATTTATTGCCTCGTTCAAGGCGAATGTCAAGAAGCGGCAACTGAAGAACGCCTTGGACCAGATTGACTAGGTGATGGCAGGGCGCCAGGACAGGCTCAACGAAGTACCGTTAGTTGTAGCGATGGAGTGGGAGCGGGATGCATGGCGCTCTGTGTCAACGTCGACAGTTGCGAACTGTTGGCAACGAACTGGAATCCTGGACTGTGACTTGTCAGCGTTCAGCAATCGAATGACTGCAGATCATATGAATTGATCGGGCAAAAAGAGATACTGTTAAAACGAATAACCTCTTGTGTTGATGTACTGTGAAGAATTTACATCATTTGCCGTTTCCAAGTCAGTGGGAGTCAGTACATCAATTCGTTTTCTATTGGCTGATAATTGAAGCGTTGTTCAAACTGCCAGGCCAAATCATACTCCAGTTTCTGAAATTCTTCGAGGCCCACTTTAGCGTACAATTCGGTTTTCACTGTAAATTTGAGTACAAAATTTCGGAGGTTCCATATTTTGGAATCAGTTATTACTCATATACTAATACGTAGTACATTCCTGTGAAAGGTAATTGAATTAGTAAACAACCCCTGGAAGTTGCCCACGACTGTTAATATACTCACGTATATTTACCCCTTTACGAAACATTTTCGAAACAATCTCTTCAAACTCTATATTATGCCGTCACATTCAAAACGACAGTACTCGACCCAACAGTGTGTGATTGACACGAGGAGCTTTTGCTTGACTTGGACTCGAAAACGGCCAAATGACCCGCGTTTTCCTTGCACATCGTCTGACTTGGTTGTAGACTTGGTAGTGTGCCAATTTGCAGGGGCGATGGTTGTTCATCTGTTGGCAAGCGTTGCCTACTGAAGGGCGGTTTCCCTGTAGTTGGCTGTGGTCCCTGGATCCCGTCGTGGAATGCAATAATACACGGCGTCTTCGGGTGCAATGCAAGCTTGCATTGCACCCGAAGACGCCGTGTGTGGACTCGTGACCGGGGCGATTCAAACCGGTGGCACTTGGGGGTGCATATTTCCATCACAGGGGTGCTCCACGTCCCCTGCCGCCATGACGATTGCGCCAGGAACTTGGATCGTTGCAGTTGCCAACGACACGTCATTCGCAGTGTCCAGTGCGTCCAAGGAGCTGCTCTGTGGCGGCACCGGGGGCATGCGCTCCCCAGGGCACCTTTTGCCCACTTCAAGGCACGATGTCATCAGGAACCCTTTGTAACTCGACAATGAGGTCGTGGAAGGCCACGACTGGGACGTGCGTTGCCCCGCA